AGGACACGGTGGAACACACCGTGGAGGTGTGCCCTGCTTGGGCGGAGCACCGCCGTGTCCTCGTAGCGGCGATAAGCGGCGGCGACCTCCTCGCGTCCGGCCCTGGGCGAAGCCATGGTCCGGAGCGAGACGGAATGGGATGCCGTCACCACCTTCCGCGAAGCAGTGATGCTAGCGAAGGAGGTGGCGGAGCGGGAGAAGGAAAGAGCAGCAGCTTTCCTCCCCGGCCGCCGCGGGAGACGCCCCGGGCGTCGGGGGCTACGTCGTGGCCCCCGGCCACCGTAGGCGCGGGCCTGTGGACGGCGAGCAATGGGTAGCTCGTCGTCCGTCCGTCTAACGACGACAGGCCGTGTCGACGGCGCGTTTTGTTCCACGCGCGCCTCAAAGAGCTGTCAGCAGCGTGATGGGGCCCGCAAGGGCCGACGCCTGCCGGGGCTGCGGGCTATTTGAAAGAGATACCGCGGCTCCGGAACGTAAGGGCACTGAAGGAACACGGATGGTTTTTAGTCAGTAAAAGTCTGACACTCCCTTACGCTCCACCCAGAGCGAAAGGGGTCATTAGATGATTTTCCATCCGCAAAAAAAAAAAGGCTGTGAATAATTGAGACCTTAGTATTTGCAAAAATTATATCTTTAAATAAAACATTTTTTTGTGAAAAATATTTTAATTATTACCTCTGCCAAACCAGCTTAAGTTTAAGTTTCACATTGTATTACTACATTTAACATTTATATATAAAATAATGAGGTATAAATCAAACAGTCAATGTGAATTTACTTAATTTTACAAATCAAACAACAAGTTAATTGATAATTTGGCGGCAGTCCGCTGCCATAGACACACTATATACAGACACACCGTTAGGAATAGTATTTATGTACTTTAAAATTATCGTCACGTACTGTGACGAAGCAGCTCATAGCCACACTGCACGTGCTATGTTGCAATGCGTCAAGATGCCACCGATCACAATTTGAAACGCAGTGCAACATAACAGATAGAGCAGTCAATTTACGACACTAAAATTCGAAAAACATTTAGATCTTCCAGTGCATTTTGTTAGCTACTAACATATTTTTATCCAAAATATATCCACGTCGATCCAAACGTTTTGTATTTACTAAGTACTATGGCATTGTTTTAGCACGGCATTGCTTGTCTTAATATGATAACTGAAAATAACAATTTTTTGAAATACATGCTCTCAATAAAAGAACTTGTATATTAGTGGTGACATATCATGTGATGATGATATCATCATCATCATTATCACAGACCATAAGAAGACCACTGCTGATCATAGGTCCCTCCCTGGACATGCCTCAATGCACAATCCTGAGCTACCTGCGCATCCATCGACTAGCTACATATTTCACCAAGTCATCACTCCATCTGGTGTAGGGTCACTCAACTCTGCGTTTGTCGGTAGGAGACTGCCACTGAATTATAATACATTTAAGGTTTCTACTTTTAAAACATTCGTGTGGTTTCATGCATATCTTAGTGTTCACAATTTTATAAATTGCGTAGTATATACACAGACCTAACCTAAGAAATTAATACAATAGATAAATATGCACATTTTACGTTAATAAATGGACGGTATCAAAATTTGTCGTAAAATTATGATAAAGGGATTACCAAATTCTATGTACTAAGAACTCTTCGTCAAAGGGTAATTTTCTTTATTTATACCGTGCAGTGGCAATGCAAGAATATCCACTAGCCCACATTATCCCGCGGGTGCTGTGAGAGGCGACAGAGGAAAACTAATCAGGAGATTGGCAGCAGCGTATTCCTAATAACAACTAAAAATACAAAACTACAGTTGCCAGCCCGCTCGCCGTGCCGGCCAGCGTGCGGATAGGGGAGGCCTGTGTTCAGCACTTGACTTTCATACACTGTAATGGTAACGTCTAACGTCTAGTCTTTCTTTTGTATTCTTTTATCACAATAAAAATAAAATATCATCAATTATGTAGTTAAAGATATATTTTGAATTTAGCTAAACGTAAACATAAGTACCACAAGCTCAAGTTACACTTGTAGCTTTATTTTTATTTAAAATGGGCTTCTTTTGACCTTCACCCGGCTCGAGGGCAAAGATGAGGTCCATGATTGAGTGAGTTTGCGCAGGGGAAGACTGTTAACACGCGCGTTGAGGAGGTTAAGGTTATATGGACAAGGAAAAAACAGACGTCGGCAGGGCATCAAACTCCTTGGCTGTGCGCATTATGAAAGATGACTTACAGTGCTCAGCGCGAATATTTGAAATAACCAAGTGTGGATGGTGACCTGCAGTACATCTGGTACTCCGACAGAAAAATGGAGATGGTGGTATAAGCTTATGAAGCTCATGGGCACACTCTACGAAGTACAATTTGTAGAAGACCGACAAACGGGCAACTTGAAGGCGGTGACCTAAGTTGTGAGGATTATTTTCCATCAGCTTTTGTAGCCGATAAGTCTCTTGGTTCTGCACTGAGTCGAGTGCGTCAATATGATATTTTGCTGAGCCATCCCAAAGGTGACAACAATACTCCACGCATGTTCCGGCTTGAGATTTATAGATATAAAGTTGGAAACTCAGGTCAGGCGAGAAGTATCTTCACCTCACTTCACTTCACCTCGTTTAAAATACATAGTTATTTGGCCGCAGTTAGTGCTTTCGACTCACCATTAAGTAGAGGTTAACACTCAACTGTACGCCGAGAAGCTCGAGATGATCAGTAACCTCCATAGATGCACCCCGGCAAGTAGTCTAATAAGAGTAATTCTCAAATAAATTGTAAATTCGAGAAAAAAAGCTTGTCACAATTTTTATATTGAAATAATACTAATTTTTACGGAATTTATCGCGTATATTTAACTTTTTTACCCGACGTTTCGAGAGCTTTACAGCACCCATGGTCACGGGAAGGACTGAGATGTTCAACGTCCAGCTGTCATAGTTAACCGCGGTTACCATAGATTAAAATTTAACTTTTGTTCCGATCTACACAGTATGAACTTATGGTATCATGGAGTCTTGCAGTTGTATGCTTGGGTTGGGATTTAATTTTATTTATTATAGGATCCCAAGCAGATGGTAGCACCCAGCCATCTTCTCTATTGAAATTAGGATGTTTTTTGATTTCAATAGCCTCGCGAATCATCCTTGGAAGGAATCGGTGTTCTTTAGCGAGGATTTGTGGTCTATCAAATCTGATGTAGTGACGGGGGCGATCCTGTACATGTTCACAGACTGCAGACTTCCCGGAGCGTCGATTCTTCACATCAGCTATATGTTCTTTGACGCGGACATATAGCTGATGTGAAGAATCGACGCTCCGGGAAGTCTGCAGTCTGTGAACATGTACAGGATCGCCCCCGTCACTACATCAGATTTGATAGACCACAAATCCTCGCTAAAGAACACCGATTCCTTCCAAGGATGATTCGCGAGGCTATTGAAATCAAAAAACATCCTAATTTCAATAGAGAAGATGGCTGGGTGCTACCATCTGCTTGGGATCCTATAATAAATAAAATTAAATCCCAACCCAAGCATACAACTGCAAGACTCCATGATACCATAAGTTCATACTGTGTAGATCGTAACAAAAGTTAAATTTTAATCTATGGTAACCGCGGTTAACTATGACAGCTGGACGTTGAACATCTCAGTCCTTCCCGTGACCATGGGTGCTGTAAAGCTCTCGAAACGTCGGGTAAAAAAGTTAAATATACGCGATAAATTCCGTAAAAATTAGTATTATTTCAATGTGTAGTGTTCGCGTAAATATAAGAAATCATTACAATTTTTATATTTAAAAAATAAATATATTTTCTTGTTTATTTTTGAAATGTTATATTTCATCTATTAGAAGATATTCTTATTATTTTAGAATAGATAGTGCATTAGCTCTATTGTATATAATAAACGCCCAGTGTTATGTTTAATAAAACCTCGATTTCGTTGTCAATACAAAAAATAATTATGTCACTGTATGCCTTTAATAGGTTCCGACTTGATTTATAGTTTTTTTTTTGTAGATATGGATTTATTTACACATTTTTAACTCAACGGATTCATGTTCTATTTCATTATCTTTACTAATAGGGACTATATCTCCTAAATTTCTAATACAAATTAATAGTTATTTACTTGTCACAAATTTCTTACAATTTAGTAACAAACATTTTCGTAACGTTATTTCACAATGATTTCTCAAGATTATTGAACGCAACTTATGCCATTCAGTTGGCAGCATTGACTCGATTCTGATTGGTGGATAACGAAACTGTCATGGCGTATTTAGACGCGAGTGACCGCCTTGATGTGTGAAAGTCGCAGCTTTAAACTTCAGTTACAATTTCGTTATTCTGACAAGGAAACTTAATTTTTTGCCGGTAAGTTGTTTCAAAATGTAAATCTCATTTAAATATGTCGTAGTGTTTACATTTATCTAGTGATTTATTCATGTTTTCGTGCTACAGATTATTTTGTTGTCATGAAAAACATTTTTGAAGTTAGTTTTTGCGTACCAACTTAGTTACATTTCGTTACGTAACGAAATTGTTTTCTATAAAGCTACATGCACATTAGAATAACGATAGTAAGATGTTTTTGGCTTTTGTTTGTCTCCAATTTCCTCACTAACTATAAATTGTTGTACACACAAAGATTATAATAAAAAAAATGTGTTTGCCTCATTTATCACCCACGGTGGCTTATTACTTCACATTATAATAGATGTTATAATAATTAATATCTGGACGTCTCTTAAAGTTTACTTTTGTTGCATATATGCCACTTACCAACTCCGAAAGGCAAAAGCGTTACAGGGACCGCTAGAAAACCCAAAATCCGGAGACACATGAAGAACTTAGGATTAAACATCTCGAAAAAGTGAAAAAAAAAATACAAAAAACAGAAGAAGAGCGAAACCTTCGGCGCAAAAAATGGAAAGAGGCAAACGATAGAAGAGAAAAGCAAAATAATAGAAGAGAATCAAAAATGTCTACCAATGTCGCGTATGTACCTCAATTTATTTCTGAAAACGTTACTAAAAAGCAGACAAAAGATAAAATACAAGAACTCGAAAACGTCACTAAAAAGCAGAAAAAAGATAAAATACAAGAACTAAAAGCAGAAAATGAAGAATTAAAAAGAAAAAATAAAAATTTGAAGAGACAGCTGTACCGTTACAAAGCCGAAATAGCAGATCTGAAACAACAAATAGTATCCCAGCTACATCCAGTTCAGACAACTACAACAGTTGACAAACCTGAGGTTGTCACTCCTACCAAAGAAACTCCAATGACGAAAACGAATAAGTTTTTAGATGAAATACCATCAATGTCTAAAGAAGAAAAAGAGAAAGTCAAAAAGAAACTCCTAGTACTGAAACTAAAATTCTCACTCACTCATTAAAAGAACAATACAAAAAAGCTGATACACGAGAAAAGAAAAGAGTCCTTAAACAAGTAGCTCTTGGAACGACAATAAAAAAATATAAAGTAAAAGCAAAAATGACACACAGTTTTGGACTTACAGGCAAATTAAGGATGACAGAATCGACTAAAATTATCAGAGGCAAATACATGAGAGAGATTCAAAGATTTTTTAACAGGGATGATATAAGTCGCCAACAGCAGGAAAACAAGAATGCAAGACAAAAAATAAAGAAAAGAAACAACTAAGATACCTGGTGGATACAATGCAAAGACTACATACCAAATACAGAGCTGAAGGATGTAGGGCATCCTACACGACATTTGCTCGCTATCGACCATTTTATGTGATTTCACCTAAAATTAAAGATAGAAATACTTGTGCATGTATTAAGCATGCCAACATTGGTTTCAAAGCAGCAAAGCTCAAAACACTAGACTTGTGCTCCAAACATCAAATATTAATGATTTGATACGTACAATTACCTGCAGGGAATGTTTTGATTGTATGTAGTCGAAATGCCCTATTTGTGTCAATAAAACGCCAGATATAAATTCAGAGATCAAAGGTGATGCTCCCAGTGCAGTGGTTAGAGTGGCGGTTGAGATCACATGTATAATCAGTCGTAAATAAGAATAAAATAGAGGAAAAAACAACAAATAAATATACAAAGGAAATTGTTAACGGTACCGTTCAAACAGTTACTGAACAATTTCTGGGGGATTTACATAAATTTAAAACCCATCATTACAATATAATACATCAACACAAAGCATACAAGAAATGTATTGAAAATCTTAAACCGGACGAAGTTGCTGTAGTATGCGATTTTTCAGAAAATTATGCCTGTAAGCAATCCGAAGAAATACAAGCAGTGCATTGTGGCGTATTACGAAACCAAATCACACTACATACCTGTGTTTTATATGAAAAAGATAAAAAGCCTATGCCAATTTGCTCAATCTCACCAGTGAATGAACATGGACCAGGCGCTATTTGGGCGCGTCTAGATTTTATTCTTAAGTATTGCAAAAACAACACGAACATTAAGAAAATTCATATATTCAGTGATGGTCCAACTACACAGTACAGGCAAAAACACAATTTCTATTTATTTACAAAAAGGCTTTCTGATTATGGATATGAGCAAGGAACATGGAACTTTTTCGAAGCATCACACGGAAAAGGCCCTGCTGACGGTGTTGGCGGAGCAATAAAGAGGAAACTTGACCAGCATGTAGCTCATGGACATGACATACATTTACTAGATAATGTCAATGTCGAAATACACTATATTAGCGAAACAAATATTGAACAGATGAATCAAATGATTCCTAATGATGTGGTTCCTGTAAAGGGAACTATGACATTGCACCAGATAATTTATGACCGTCAAAATGTACATACAATTTACTATAAGACTTTGAGGTGGTTTTTGATGAAAACAAGCCATGTGTGTGCGGAATAGACATAAAACAGCATGATCTTGTGCAGCCACAGCAGACAAATGAGCGAGAAAATATGAGACTTAAACAGAAAAGAGAAGAAAATACACAGTCAAGCTCGGCACTATCAGCAGACGATCGTACCAAAAGTAACAGTAAGAAAAAGATTACTATATTATCTTCAGTCAAACTTACACCCAAAGATCTTTCCTTATTGCCGTTGCAACTAAAATCTATCAACAAAGATTTTGATATTTCTACGGGCCATGACTTACGTCAGAAATCTGAAATCTTAACAACACAAAAAAGACAAAATCTGCCAAAGAGGCGTAATGAAATTGACAAAAAAGAAACGAAATAATCAAACGCATAAGAAGGTCGACGAGATCTTTAAGCAATTCATCAACATCTGTTGAAACCAATATTAGTATTTACAGTGATTCCGAACTAGTTGATGTAGTGAATGAGGATCACAGTTCTGATCAAGATGATAATTTACAAGTGGAGTATGGAGTCACCAAGGTGCAACTGCATACAATCGGCCCGGAGGTGCAAAAAATACCACAGGATCATAGAAATAATATGTTGTTGCAGAATTTGGATGAAGTAGAGCTAATAAGAAACAATCGGAAAAAAAATCAAAAATCTGAAACTGAAAGAGAAACTAATAAGAAACAATCGAAAAGAAAGTCAGAGAAAAAAATTTAAAAAGAAACGTTAACGTTAGCAAAAGCATTTAAAATGAAAGATGAAGATGCAATTACAGAGAACCTTGAATTTGTCAACATTGATAAAAGGGAAGAAAATTGAACATCGAACTGAGAATAATTTAGGTGTAGAAATAGGTGAACAAGTGAAAGACAGAGTGGATGGAGAACTATTCATCGGCGAAACAGTTTTAATCCGATATTATGAAAAAAAAAATGTTGGAAATACTATATTGGAGTCATAAAACACATCGATTTTGATACAAACATGTACACAATATTTTTTATAGAACTGTCAACAGGAAAGAAAATTTGAAATTTATTGTACCGAAACGTACGGATAGAGACATTCCTTATGTTTTAATTGTTAAAGAAATACAGCTTCAAAAACAGGAAAAACCCAACGAATTTAAATTAATGAATATAGAAGATTATACATATTTTTATTAAATCGACAAAAAGTAATTTAGATTTAATTTTGGTTATTTTCATTTTGAACTTGAACTGAGTTAAGTTTTATAATGTTTTAAGAACGTGTGATTATATTTTATATTATTTTATATTCAATTAAAAGAGATGCCTGATTACACCAAAGTATTTTAATAATAAATGATGGTAAGTTAATAACTGTGCATTCGTATGGCGGTTATGAAGTTTTTTTTTCATACAATCCTTGTCCTAACAATAGCGAACAAAAAATTCACCCAAATCGGCAAGCCGTTTTCAAGTGATAAAAATATATCTAATATATATATATATATATATATATATATATATATATATATATATATATATATATATATATATATACTGATTCCGATAAAAATACACAGTGTAAATGTAGCTTAATAAATACATTTTCGTTATTTATTTACAATTTCGTTACAACAACTTCGATACAACATTTTCGTTACGTACAATTTATTTGAGAATTACTCATAAACAGACTCCGTTTTACGGAGTACAAACAGGTCTGCGTTTTGGCGGCATTGAAAGCGACCAGATTGTTTTCACCCCATTGGGCGACAAGACTTAAGGTCGCATTTATCCGCTCCAGCATGGCCTCTTTTAGTGAACGTATTGCTGCCCTTCCATCTTTGGCACTGGACATAAATATCTCTGTGACTGTACTGTCAACTGCATACCCAAAATACCCGGTATAGGTCATTGATGAAGAAAAGAGTCGAAGAGAGAACAGATTTCTGTGGATCTACGGACTTAATTTGAATTAGGTTACAAAAGAAACCATCTATGACTACCCTGATTATCGTTCACTCAGATAGTCATATATCCAGAAGCAAAATTCGGGCGTGATGCCGTAAGCTTACTCAGTAGACTTGCGTGCCAAACCCTGTCAAATGCCTTCGAGATATCGAGTGAAACTGCGAGAGCTTCACCGTTCTTCTCGATGGCCTCGCCCCAGAAGTGCATACAAGAAGATCCCCAGTGGACTGTCTCCGGCGGTAGCCATATTGAGAGTCACTGAGGAGGTCATTTGGTTTAAGGTATGTCAGCAGCTTACCGTTCAATACCCTTTCCATTACTTTACGGAGTATGGAAGTGATAATTACAGGAATCGGCACGACTCGAAGGAGGGTCCTTGGCTGCTGGGTGCACATTGACATTTGACAAGTTTCCAAGATTCATCGATTCACAAGAGGCACTGTGGCCGTGGAAGGAAAAGGGCAGATCTCCCGCCGGGCAAGGTGTTCTGCCCGGGGAGCGGCCGACACTCCGAGTGATAGTTCGGAGAAGTTCTATATATACTGTCTATGATTCTGAATGTTGATAGCGTGATTTAAGCTCCGGTGTATTTCGCTTGTGGCTGCGCCCTCTTTTCTGCCAAGGAGGGTCGCGTTCGTATACGGCTTAGAGATCTCTAGTCAGATCGTTAAGCCAATTCCTAAAAGGTTGAGTTTAGTGGGTAAAAGTCTCCACACATAACCACGCAGCCGGCTGCGTGGTATGCTATGAGCATTCTCAACCTCCCTCTCCCGCTTTCCGGAGGGTTGCCCATATTTGCTTCGGGCGCAAAAAAAATCGCTTGTGGCGCGACGACAGCGCCGCTACATCACCCCCCTGCTCAGACCGGAGGTCGATAGAGCAGCCTCGTTGCCGACGAATGTGCAAGTACCAGGAGATTGCCTTGTAGTCTGCAGTGAGTCGAGAAGAAGGCAAGTAATCTGCGAGAGTGCCGTGAAGCAGAGGCGAGCAGTAAGGCTCAGAGCCGTGCCGAACACTGTATAGCGCAGAGAGTAGCTTGAAGGAACAGGAAGCATTATTATTCCAGTGCTGCGATGAACCTTGTGAAGTTAGATGGCTTGCAGGATATGAAGACTGCAGTTTATATCTGCTCGGAAGCGAATGAGTGGGGTATTCTATGACGATTGATGAAGCTTGAAGTTTCCGAAGGTTGTTTGGTTGCGTGTTCAGATCACGTCGGGGTCACCACTGTGGCCGTGGAAGGAAAAGGGGAGATCTCCCGCCGGGCAGGGTGTTCTGCCCGGGGAGCGGCCGACACTCCGAGTGATAGTTCGGAGAAGTTCTATATATACTGTCTATGATTCGGAATGTTGATAGCGTGATTTAAGCTTCGGTGTATTTCGCTTGTGGCGCGACGACAGCGCCGCTACAGGCACCATTCAAATTTTAAGAGCGAGGCGGTACAGGCGCGTCAGAACAGAAGACAACTCAGGCGCATAATGCTTTAGTACCCTTGCCAGAATACCAACAGGTCCACTGGCCTTGTTCACGTCTAGGTTTAGCAAAGTCTTTCGTGTGGACAGTGACCTTCGGCATCGAAGAATCACAGTAGGGTTGGCGATTA